AAGCCCCCCCCCCTCCCCCCAAAAAAATAAAACCCTTCTGCTGCCACTGAAGTTGGAGACGCTAAAGGAACTACTCACAGATGCTAAAGGAACAGCACCCATGCACCACCAGAGGTTGAGGTAAATGTACAGAACTTTATATAACCTGCTGTGCTTTGTCTGAATTTTTTACAATTAGAAAACTTCATGAAACTAATTTCAAAAACCAAAATAAGCTTTACCAGTGACAGACTCTGGATGGGGAAAGGTGGAAGGTAAAACCATGGATCAAAGCATCAATTGGTAGCTGGCTATATATTGCATGACACCAAAGACAAAAGAACTGAGATTTCCAACAACAAATAGCTCCACCCAAAACTCTTCCCTGCCTACAGTATTTTTGTTGTGAAGTGCCAGTGCCATTCAGCTTTACCTCTGGTAATATGTCTCCATCTCCAATAGATTTTCGTGGCTGTTTTGATCTGATAAGAGTATCTCGTAATTTGTGCACATCAACTGTTTCTTGTCCTGCTTCGATCTCACTTGACTTGTCTTTATTTGATAAGAGACTGGACCATATTGTTGAGGACCATATTTGGGTGGAACTCTACGAGGAAGATACAGTACAATTATTTTAAAATACCTTGTTAGTATTTAACGATATTGAGATTTGCGATATCCTAGTGGCATCCTGATGATACTTGGATATCAGATGTTGAAATTTGGTATCCTAGAGGGTCTTGCATACCTAAACCATTTTCATCTCCACATGTTGACTCATTAAGACAATATTACAAAAGTTCCGACATTGTATGTACATCTAGTTAATGTTTCTGTTAACATCAAACTCTCTCATTAGCAATGGCAAACCTCGTACATTTTATGACTTTTCAAGTCATGGCAACTAAATGATATATGGTACACTGAAAGCATACATTTTTATTTTGAGAATATTAATTGGATACCAGGATTTTCAATTTGGATACAGGTACCAGATTAAGATATGTTGGGATCCAATGGATTCCGGGAAAAAATTCCAATCTCAAACCCTGTGTGACACTAATTTTCACTCAGTCTTAAATTTGGACTATGAAATTAAAGACACAAATCACAACAATGTATTGTAAAACACTACCTACAGAGATTGCATGGACCCTCACGTTTGAGATAGGTATCAATTTCAGGAAGTTCAGACACAAACCACAACAGCTTATTGTAGAAAATTACTACCTACACCGGACCACCACGTTTGAGATATCTTTTTCATGCAGGTAGTTCAGACACAAACCACAACAGCTTATTGTGGAATACTACCTACACTGGATCACCACATTCGAGATATCTTTTTCAGGTACAGTAATTCAGACACTATACCACAACAGCTTATTTTAATATACTGCTCCTGTACACTGGGCCCGCACGTTTGAGATCTATTTTTCTCAGGTAGTTTGGACACAAACCACAGCAGCGTATTGTGGAATACTACCTACAGCACACTATAGACCCCACATTTGAGATATGAAATGCAGCATTAATATACCTACCAAATATCTTAGGTTAACATCACATGGTTTCCTTAAGAGTCCCAAAAAATTAAAATGAGGATACCTAAACAAAAAACATCAATTTTAATTTATTAAATACTGTAGGTCGCAAACAATGCAATATCTAAGACAAATGATCCATCAGATTAAAGTACAGTAGTGCACCTAAACCAATTATATCATCTATAAAACTTAAATGTAACATTTATTGTAAACATGCTCATAGTAATTTTTATGAAATACTGTTGCAACTTTCTAGTTGAGTTAACTACACTGTTTAGATACCAAAAATTTTTTATTCATCGCAAGTCTGCTGAAAATAACAAGTTTGATTTCATAAAAAATAAATAAAATTCCATGCGGCATGAAAACAGAGATATCTTTTAAATGGCCTTACTATTAAATTTTTGAAATCTGAGGAGGGGTCTCCAAACTTTCCATCAATATGTGGACATTAGTGATATAGTTTAACAATTAGGGTGCCACATATGTCAAATCAATGTTATATCTCACATCTGATCCACATGGGATAACATAGACAGTACTATAGAACTTCGGTTCAGTGTAACTTAATTATGTTTTGAAATCGTATTTTGGCATAAGTACTTTAGTTTAATTGGTATTGCAGTGAAAGAACAAAGTGTTTTTCTTTCATTATTTTGCATGCAGATTTTTTGATACCGGCCATCAAATTGCACAATGCTTTATGCAATGAAAATAGATAAAGGCAACATAGATTCTATGATGCAAACAAAATCATGCTACCTTGATAAAATATTTTACTCTGGAAGCTAAATATATATATATAAAACTTAAAAAGTTATAAACTTCATTTATTATTTGGGTCGGCACGAAGCTCTGGGAAGATGTTCTGTGATTGGTTGATTATAACAATGAGTCAATGACAATATTAAAGCTATATAATGGATTTTCTAAAGAACGAAGCAAGAACAATATTCCTTTTGTTTATGTAAGCCAAATTACGTCTTTTGTCATTGTCATAATCAACCAGTCACAGAACATCTTCCTAGAGCTTCGTGTTTACCGTCTTATTTGGAAAGAAAGCGTGTTCGACTGTCCGTGACACGTGGCATTTCACATGCAAACTGCACACGCTACAATTAATATATAAAATGATAATTGTATAATTGACTTCTAATTTGACAAATGTTAAAAATATTTTGTCTACTTTTTACATGCAACAGACTTAGCACTTAAAATGGCAAAATACTTACAAAATTCTCATCATTGCAACTAAAATATTGCAGAATTTTGAACATAATTTCAGAAACAAATATTCCTTGGAATGCCGGTTTGAACTTTGATCTTACCCTTAAACCACTTACTTCATGTTAGGTGAAATATAGTCGCACGACTTATGCCTGCGAGCAGAGCATTCTACGATTTGCTACATAGTCTGCGAATCTGCAACAGAAAACCTGTTTGTTGAGGCACGTTTTCTACGTAATTCCGGTAATCCGAGTAAAAGTATGCAATATATTTTAACTCCTATAGTATTTTTTTTTTCATTTTTATTTACTATATTCATATATTTTTGTTTATTTTATTTAACTTATTCAGTTTATTTTTAACATCAGTTTATTCAGCTACTAAAATGCATAAAGTTTACAAATTTAACATTAAATTATACGCCCCGACATTCGTCTGTTATTTTTACTTACCTATTCCATCCCAATTACTTATGAACCCCTTTTATTTATTTATTTCATCCCAAAGCATGAACATTTACTTATGAATGATCACAAAGAATATTTAGCTAGACACCTTCTACAAATCTTCGCATGCTTTTTATATTTCTGCAAGCTCAATCAGTATGTTCACTGACTATGGTCTTAGAGTACATTTAAATTTACAATATACCAGTAGGATCAATACCCTGGATTCCAGAGCCTTCGCGACATTTCAATTTATTATTTACTTCGAAGGCTCTGGAATCCAGGGTATAGGATCAATGGATTACGTCAAACAGCAACGATTTCCTATTAAAAGATTATTGGTTAGTAGACGAAAACCGGAAAAAAAAACCCCGATAGATCAGAAATGGGGAGGGGGATGGGAACCACTGGAGGGAACTACTCATAGAAATAATAGATATCTATTATTTCTATGGAACTACTGCAGCAGGGCACTAGTCTGTATTCTTGCTGGACAATTTCACAATCATGTTACTATCTCATTTTGTCTCTATGTTAATTGTGATTTTGCAATTGGTTTTCCGAATAAAAAAAGATGAATGGGTTACTTTTCGGAGAGGGCGAAAAACTCAAGAAACTGGAGGGTTTAATTTTTGAACACATAAGTTTGTGCATATTTCATATTTATAGGAAAGACAATAGACTTTGCCTCAATGGCCTTGTTTCCATGTTTGCCTGTTTTCGCATGACAGGCGCACATGAAGGTTATATCCCCATGTTTTTATAGGAACATATTTCGCTTTGATCTTGAGCCTAATCAAAAACCTATTCCTAAACTTATTGTGCGGAAACATAAGGAATAACCACATGAAAACGATGCAACATAATGACGTCACAAGGCGTGATGCCCCACGAGGAATGCTAGTCTTAATAGTCATCGCCCGAGAAATTTTCGATAGTCGCCATTTTGATTTGTTTAATTTTCCCGGGCGATGACTACTAAGACCAGTATTCCTCGCGAGCATCAAGCCTTGTGACGTCATTATGCATAAGGTCTATTGGTGCAAAAGTGCAATACATGACGACACGAGTCGAGAACTCGAAAAATGTTACCTCGGAAAATGGGAACAAATATCACATAAGATACAGAGAGTGGTCAAATAACAACATGATTGGGAAAATTGACTTGCCAAAACCGTGCGAAAAGTGGCCTGAAACGAGGCAGCCAGAGAAACTGCAAATGCTCGAAATATCTTACCGTAAACAATCATACAGTACCTTACCTCACTCCAAACGTTTTGTACAATTTGGCTCATTGATCACTCGAGCTTTACCTCGCAGTCCAGTTCTGAACTGCGGCCAGCTTTTTACACTTCCATTCATGCGGCGCCGACAATCTGTCGAAAACCTGGCAATCTCTTGTTTTGTAAGAACACGCCCCCATACATTCATTTCAGCCAGCTCCCCCTGGAAAGAGTCTTTGTCTTGAAACCCCCCTCCGACACTATCTTGGTCTTGACCCAGCACCCAGAACCCACCTCCAGTGATTTTTTGCCCAGTGCGCACACCAGATTCTTGGTCTGACATTGCGTTGTCGCTATAGACCGTGAGCTTGCCATCTATATTTGACCATGTAACACACATTGCATGCCAGAAACTGTCAGAGATGGAACTGTTTTTCATACTAAAATAAAATATAAGTTATTTTGTCTATTGCTTTTTTGTACAATGTACAGATCGAGCCTGTAGGATGAGGTTTGTACAAAGAGACCGAGGCCCAATATTTCTTTGTACATATACCGAGCAAGCGAGG